GAAATTAGCAAATTTTAATGAATTTAGAGACTCATTTTACGGAAAAAAAAAATTAATTCAAAGACTTAATTTTCATTGGAGTGATAATTCATAGACCTAAGAGCTCGTTTGGATGTGTTTTTAATATGACTAAAAGCGTTTTTGGTGAAAATGTTTTTGGAACAAATCCTTGGTAAAAATGCAAGTAAATTCTGGAAAAGCACTAAAAGTGCTTTCTGGAAGAAGCATATAACTTGTGTTTTTTGCAGAAAGCATTTTGTTTCTTGCAGAAAGCACTTTAAGTGCTCTTGGAATCAAAAAACATTTTCTCTAAAAGCGCTTTCAGTCATTTTAAAAATACATCCAAATGAGTTTTAAATTATTTATATTTGTCTTATGTTCAGCCGATCAAAGTTTTATCGCAACAACTAGTAGTTTTCTTTCACAAATTTGTTTGGTAATTTCTTAAAATCCACGTGATCAAACATATAGACAAGACAACTAGTAATTAGGTCAAGGCAAGCTGTACCTCCATTTGCCTTTGCAAATTGCAACCTCCTTCCTCCACAAAATTAAAACATATAAAAGCACACAAATAAAACCATAAAAAATTGGTCACATTGGCAGCACTCAAAAGGGTCCAAACTTTTGCAGTTATATCACATAAATTTATACTCCCAAAGGCCAAAGGCAGAGAAATATACATTTTCTGATATGGTTTGCTGCAACAGCCTGTGCTCTAGTGCCAGCCAAACTCTTGCACCTTGTTTTTTTGGATCTTTTGATATAGGTCCAAAGTAATTAAAAATTGTACTTATTTCAAAAGTCAAATGTCACTAAAAATTGGACCTATTTCAAAATTTTCCTTGTTTTTATTGGGAAGGGATCCAGACCTAATCCTCTTCATCAAATAATATAGACCATTGAAATTTGATTATATGGCTACAAACACAGGCCCACTCTAAAAGTTATAATAACTTTAGCCGTTAGATCAAGTTTCAAGAATCCAGATTGTTTGATGAGGAGGATTAAGTGGAAATGATCTGAAAAAGATCCCTTTTCGTTTTTACCGGGGACACTTAATTTTGGGCTCACCTATTTGCTAAATTGCTAATACAATTTTAATGTTAATCGTACATTATTTTCATGCCTTTAAGTATGGTAGGCAGCACGCGAGTTGTATTTTGAGTGGAAGTATTGGTCCCAACCCATTCGGCACTGAATTGGTTTGCTGCTAGCCTAATTTACCTAATTCGCACTATTATGTCTTTTTGGGTAGAAGGCCTTAGACCTGGTTTGGTACTGAGGTGATTCTGAAAAAAACCGGTATAAAAAAAAGCTGGGAATTGTTTTTGTGTTTGGTAAATATTTAGCTTCAGTTTTTTTTCACAGTTTTGGATGAAAAAAAAGCCAAAAACAAGAAGCTGCAAAACCCAGCTTTGAAAAATTGGCTTTTTTTCACATCTGTTTTACATAAAAGTTTACCAAACACTATAATACTGCTTTTTTTTTTTTTTTCAAAAGCACTTTTACAAAAAAGTTTACCAAACACTCTGCTGCTTTATTTCACAGCTGCTTATTCTCACAACACAGCAGAATCAGTTTTTTTTCAAAGCACAACAATACCAAACCAGCCCTTATATGACTCGAGTAAATCGTCACATTAGTGTTCAATACCAATAATACAAGAATATATGTTTGTTTTGTTTTGTTTTTTGTTTTTGTTTTTTTCTTCTTTCTACTTGTTCTTATGATAGTCGCACAAATTATATTTTTTTGTGAGTCCTTGCAACTTTTAGCTCCTATTTTTTGCCCATCATATCACATGTACACCACTAAACCACCAATGGGTATAGATTATATTATAGTAATATAATTTGTATGAGATAAGACTAGGGTTTTGCTATTGCGTTTCCAAGATTACAAATGAAGGGGAGTGTATTCCATTAGGATTTGAGGGATTTTAATTTTTTTAATGAATCTAAGGGTATTCAATTAGGATTTTAAGTGATTCTTTAAAATTTAATGTGTATTCAATCAGGATTTTAAGATAGTTTATTAAAATCCTTGGAAATCTGGATGTATTCAATTAGAATTTTAAAGAAGTTTATAACATTCTAGGTGTATTTAATTAAAATTTGATTTTAAAGAATTTGAAAAAGTTGATGAATTAAAGGGAGTTGGAGAGATTTTGTAGTGTATTAAGCATCCACAAATCTCATCTCTCCCTATGAGATTTCGAAGGAATTGAATAAAAAATTTACATGAAATCTCTACAAATCAATTAGACTTCATAAAAATCCATTGAAATCTCTCAAATTCCCAATGTCTAGGTTTAAAATATGCATCAAAGTATTGGGTAAAAATAGGTTTATTTCACAATGTTTTCATGCCAAATTATGTTCAAACATTGTTTTATTTATAAGCTGTTTGATAACTATTTTATTTTTAGTTTTTAATATTTACTTTTTTGAAAACTGAAATCTTGTTTGTAGTAACTACTTTTTGAAAACTGCAAATAAAAAACTAAAAACTAGTTTTCAATTTTCACTTAAAGTAGTTACCAAGTTTAAAAATAAATAAAACTGAAATGATTATCAAACAGGCCCTCAGTTTTTCAAACCAATTGGACGATAAATCAGTTAGCTATACTTTGTTTATAGTGAATGGATTTTTTTTATTTTTTATAATGATGAAACAGAGTATTGAGTTAAGTCATACAATAAGTCAATCATAATTAAGTATCAAAGTCAAACCTAAGTGCTAGTGGTGTGAATGACATATAATTTTTTATACAAAGATATTCTACTCTAAGGGCACTAGGACACGGGAGGTTTTACTTTAAGAAGAGAAGAATTTTGTTAAGCCCTGCAATGGATACCACTAATTAAATATCAAATCCAACACACATATAATATGTCGTTAGCTAAATATGTAGTTGTATATTTACAATTCTGACACGCTGATGTTAGTAACATTTTATGCATGAATTTATCAGAACTTACAATATCAACTGATATTGCACATAAGGTAGCATTTGCTTGCGTTAATGTTATAATTTCATTACTTCTCACTATAGTGAGCCCTATCGACATTGATATTAAACCTTGTTTGGTACGCCGTATAAAAGGCCAGACAATAATACTAATACAATATTAGTTATTTGGTGCTCATATATACTAATTAAGCACTGAATAAATTAAATCGGTTTCACTACTTCTGTACAGTTTGAGCCGCCAAATAAGGCCTTATTTAATATTTGTTGTGAAAGCAATATCATATCCCTCACAAACTACACTATCATACCACCACCTAATTTGGATTAGGAGTGGAATTAACGTGGAATATTTTAGTGCTTAATACCATTTCCCATGTTTTTCTCTTAATTGGGGATTATGGAGTTAACGTGAATTTGGGAGACAGAGGAGAGCTATCCGCTATCAGCGGGGGTTTTGCTGGAAAACAAAATTGAGGATTCTTGACCGATTCTTTTCGTGAGAATCTTGAAGATTTTAAAATTATATCTATTTATTGCATATTATGCGTTCAAAAAATATTATAAATTTTTTTATTTAAAATTGAATATAAATTGTATTTGATGAAAATTGACCGTACGGTATATAATGAACAGATATAATAAGAAGATTGCTGAAATTTTCACAAAGAATTTGACGAGAATCCTCTCTCGGAAAACAAAGGTTACAGTCGCGGACATTAGGTTTAGGTCCACATGGTAGTTGCCAGAGAATGGATGTTGAGCTTTTTTTAGTATTGGAATATGCGGGTCTTCCGGTTTATAGTTGACAACAGTTAAATGACGCTTTTGACCTTTTCCCCTTCTCAATTACCTTGTCGGTTGAGCTTCATTTATTCCTCTACCGTCCCAGCCTGTCACCTTGTTTTCATCGATAAAACTTTTTCTAAATATCTACTTTTACTGTTTTTTTTCTCTTTGACTAAAATGTAGATAGGGTAACAATTAGTGGAGTAAGGCGTTAATTTCCCATTTGTTTCTGTTCGGTTTAGTTTTTTCGGTTTCACGGCTTTTAGGCTCATTTCGAATTATCTCGTGCATTTCCAATGAAAAATACCCTAATAACAGTAGCACCAAAAAACAAAAAATAATAAACATGAGCTGGTAGAATGTCAAATCCGTGCACAACTAAATAAGAGAACAACGCTTGAACAACTTAGCTAAGACTACATTTTGTGGTAAGTTTGCGTTGTTTTATATGTACAACATTTACAAAGGTTATTAAAATTAAGGAGCCCCAAAAAATTAGGGACCCTGTGCTTTCGCACGCCTCGTCCACCTTTAGGGCTGGCCCTGCATAGCCCATGGCCATAAGGTTTTCCATTTTAACCAAAAAGCTAGCCGAATTGGAATTGCGGTCATCACTACTTTAGGTTAATTATCTAAACTATATATTAATAAAACACTCATTGTCAACCAAAATTTTATGAAATTACCACTTTAACTCTCTAACTAAAACTAAACATGAATAAGAAATATTGGCAGAAATGTAATTTCACATAATCCAAATTTTGTTGTTTTTTTTTCAAAACTTCACCTACATGTAATTCTAACATATATCTAATTAAAAACTAAAAAAAAAATTAAAAAAAAAAAGCCTCTCCCCATTCCCACATTTTCTATCACTCTCTTCCTCTTTCCTTCTACTTCAAAAACAAAAATAAAAAAATTTCAAACACACTTTGTGGGTGCTGATATGCTAGTTGTAACTGACATAATATTATATTAAAAATTAGAAAGAAAATATGTTTAAGGACTAGAGTGAAATTAACACGAATTCCGTGGGAAAATGTCAAATAACTCCCAAAAGAAAATTTGGCGCTAGTATTAAACCGCCACCTGGCGAACCTCGCCGGTACGCTCAGGCGGAGGTCCTTGACACTTGGCCAGCTTCGTAAAATCGATGGCCGAGTATGGACAAATTCGTCTTTCAACACTAGCACCACTAAATCCTAGGCTGGCGTGGTGTGGTGGGTGCGATTGGGATAGAGAGAGAAAGGAGATAGAGAGAGAATGAAGAGATAGAGAGAGAGAGAGAGAGAGATTGGTTTGCTCAAACAATGCACGGACAAACAACACCGAAGCAGTGAGAGAGAGAGTGGAGAGAGTGAGTGGGAGTTTCCATCAGAGCTCTCTTTCTGTCTATCTATTTGTCTCTCTGCTCAAAATCTTCCAAAATCCACACAACCAGAGGAGAGAGAGGAGAGAGAGAGAGAGGAGGAAGAAGGAAGAATCAGCTCGTTCCCGCAAAGCAATGCCTGCACTTTTTCTCCTTGTCCCAGATTTTTGACGTTTCTTTTCCGTTTCTTTGCCGTTTCATGCAATAAGTACGCCGACAAAATCCCTCAAAGTTGCTAGAAATTACACCACCAACCTGGTCGCAGAGAGGTGAAACATACGCTCATAGCCTCCTCACTCTCGTTTGCATTTTCAGTTTTCTCACATATCTCTGATTCTGGAGCTTTAAAGCTTTTGTTGCAGGTTTGTTTTGTTTGGCAAATTAGAAAAAAGAAAGAAGCCGTCGTCTTCCACCGACCGGAAGCTAAAGAACGGCGGCGAAGAACAGTGAGTTGACGGCGATATATTTATATATATATTTTTCGGTATCTTTTTGTTTTTATTTTTTATTTGTTTTTGTATATTTTTGGTCGCTTTTGTTTATTTGAGCTTTGAGAAAGCGAGTCAAGAAGCGTAAAGGTGAAAGTTGGAGACTTCGTTATCTGATTTTTTGGTTCTTTTCGGCTGTAGTTGAGATGCACTTTCATTTTTAGCTCTCGAGCTCCGAAACCTGAAGATCTCCAATCGAAATGCGATTTCATTGCTGAAAATCCTGCAAATTTCGCCGAGGTTTTGATTTTTCGGCAATTTTTCAGAGTAATTACTGCTCTAGAAATTCAATTTTCGTAGTTATGTCTTTGATTAGAGTGAAACAGAAGTGATTATATTGAAATGCAATCTGTAGCTGTGGGCCTGTGCTAAGTTTACAAAAAGCCGAAAATCCGGAGTTTGCTGCATTGGGAGAGGTGAAAATGGCGTCGTTCGGAGAACTTGCAAATGTGGCTCAGTTGACGGGCGTAGATGCGGTGAGGCTGATCGGAATGATTGTGAAGGCGGCGAGCACAGCGCGAATGCACAAGAAAAATTGCAGGCAATTTGCGCAGCATTTGAAGCTGATCGGGAACTTGTTGGAGCAACTGAAGATCTCGGAGCTTAAGAGGTATCCGGAGACGAGGGAGCCTCTGGAGCAGCTAGAGGAGGCTCTGAGAAGGTCTTACATTTTGGTCAGTAGCTGCCAAGACCGGAGCTACCTGTATTTGCTTGCAATGGGGTGGAACATTGTGTATCAGTTCAGGAAGGCTCAGAACGAAATCGATAGATACTTGAAGCTCGTCCCTCTTATTACTCTTGTGGACAATGCTCGAGTCAGGGTATTGAATTTTTCGGATTATTGTTTGTTCTTTTTTCGTTTTTCATGTTGTTGTCATTGGTTTAATAATTATTATTATATTTTTGGTTTCCCCGTTTTCTTTGTGGTCTAATTGATGTGTGTGTGTTGCAAGAAAAATTTGCGATCTTCTTTGAAATTGGATAATAGTTTGATTGTCTTTGTTTTGGTGATTACGTGGCATCTAACGTTCATTAAGTTTCTTCTAGGGTTGTTATGCAAGAAAAGGTTCTGATTGAAGTTTAAACTAGTGTTTTTCGCTTTGATTCTTTGTCGGAAGTTTAATTTACTCAATCCTTAGGTAAGCTATCTGATGTTGAAGTGATAAAGACGGCTCACTTTGAGTAGCTGGGATGTCTACTCTACTTGGTCCTTTAGTTAGATTATCAGAGGTTTAAGTTATGGAGGTGGCTTATTTTGAGTAGGTTAGGTATATCAACAAATTGATGGAAGAATTAAGCAAACGGAAGTAGTTTGTACGAAGCTTTTTGTTGTTCATGATTTATTTTATTTACAACGATTTACTTTTGTTTTCCGATGATATATAAAATGACACGGATTGGGCAATGAACCTTGATAGGCAGTTTCTGACATATAGGATTATCTCATCTATATTTTAAACTAAAGTCTAAGAATTTGTAATTTTGAAATACAATTAGCATTATATTTGCTCATTAACAAGCACGTAAACTCCTTTAACTTTGCTTTGCCTCCGGATTTACTGTAATTTACATTTGACCCATTTGAAAGTAGATTAAATTAATTGCCTAAGATTGTATTTAACTATTCCTGCTTTTCTATAACTATTCCTGATTTAAGTTCATTCATTTTCCTCTCAACTACAGGAAAGATTGGAATACATTGAAATGGATCAATGTGAATACACATTGGATGATGAGGACAGAAAGGTACAGGACGTGATCCTTAAACCAGACCCCTCAATACATGACACTGTAGTACTGCAGAAAACACTTTCATGTTCCTACCCAAAATTAGCTTTTAACGAGGCACTCCAAAAGGAAAATGAAAAGCTTCAACTTGAACTACAACGGTCGCAAGCTGCTTATGATGTGAGTCAATGTGAAGTAATTCAGCGTTTGCTAGAAGTGACAGAAACTGTCGCTGCAGAGTCTTCCCCCGAAAAAAATATTGAGAAAGTAGACCGCAGTCATTCAGATGCCAATAACGAGAAAGAACATTCATCTAAAGAAAGCTATAAAAAAAGTGAATCTCGCAAAACTTCAAGGTTAGTTTTCTGCATTTTTATTGCATCTGTAATTTCTGTCTAGTAACAGTACAGTTCAAATTTCAGTGTTGCAATTAGTAAATGTAAGAATGGATTGGTGATGCATAAGCTAGTTTCAATCTTGGAACTTCTCAACGTTGATTGATCGCCCTCAGTCAGATATGTCTGACGAGCAGACAGATATCATTATGCTAGGGATTTGATTTTCCCATTTCTGTATGCACTCACATCGCTGTCTTTCTTAGGGTCCTTGCGTTTCTGACGTCATAATTTGTATATGCAGAAACACGTCTTCAGTTTCTTCTAGACATGATTTGTTGTCAACTAGAGGTTCACATCGGCATGAAGAATGGAAAACTGATCTACTTGGATGTTGCTCAGAACCAGCTCTGTGTAAATTCTTTATTCTTTTAGACTATTCATGACTTGAATTTATAATCAAAGTGTTATTGGATTAGGGTGCCTTTAATTCTCCTTTCTTGCTCCACATGCTTCTGTACACTGCACGATATCTAGCAGTAAGACTTTGCCCTTTTTTTCTTTTCTCGTCGTGTATCTCATACAATGTGTCAGTTTTTGAACCTTGCCACATGCAATGAAGGCATGGGATAGGTCTAATATTTTTATAATCAAATTATACCATTCAACCCAAACGGGAAGGAAATGTAAAAAAATAGGGCTTCAACCGTTTTCGTAAAGAATATTTATTATGCTCAGTATTTCTACAGTTTTATTAGTATTTCAATTAACTTGACTAAAAATTTGGATTGATCGGAGTTTATTACAAATTGGTCTATTGACTGATCCTGCTGGGTTGAGTTCAATCTTCCAAATCTATGGTCTCTGCTGATGATAACTCCATCTACTCATGCACATGCTATGCATGTTTTTAGATGATTTTTATTTTGGATGTCGTTTTTTTCATGAGTCTAGGGTGCATCACAAATTAAGTTCTGTGATACGAATGGTATTTCTTTCATATAAATGTTCTGGCATAAGATCAAGGTATGGGTGGTCAAACATTACAGTCATTAGACACAGAAGATGTACATCATCCCATATATCAAATGATTCAAAGGCAAACCATGCTGTGTATGCTAAAGTTTTGCCGATTATTTTCTTTGCAGGTATAAAGACATTCTTCTACCCTTGTGGGACGTTTTCAAAAATTGCTTCTGCGGCAACTAACAGGCCTATGTGTGAGTTTTCTCTGGATTATCTAAACCTAGTTCGGTTTTTACATGTTAAACTATTAATATACCTGAAAAGCTTAGGCATGGCTAAACAATGCATATCAACCTTACACACTCCTCACGTGCGTCCTCATTATGCATGTGGAGTGGGAGACAGAAAACATAGGTGTGCAGCCCCATTTGGCCTCACTTTCAGCTAAAATATTACTGAGGAATGGGGGATGAGGGACTTTGAACCCAAAACAGCTTATTTCAAAGCTCTAATGTTAATTTAGAGAGATTGATAGCCTATTTGATTAGGCTATATCTGAATGCTCTTTGGCATTTGTTTTTAAGTCTTTTGTACTTTCACAGTACGGAGTTTAAGTGACTGATGTCTTTAGCCTTCAGTTTTTTTATTCCAGAAAAGCAGCGGATGTTCAATAGGATTGCTGACTTTTACTTTGTGGAAAAAAAACTGGGCGATCGACTTGTGATGCCATCTTTGGTATAGTTTATAATAAATCCCTGTATGGACCCAGAACAAATGCCAATTGTACATTGATGTTGATTTTGTGCTAAAATCTTGATCGTAATGTTGCCTGATTGATGATTCGAACAAGGCCTAAAAGAAAGATTGCATGAATTAGCTGAAGAAATTTTCATTTTCTCATGCTAAGTTGATTTTGAATGTTAAGTTGATTTGATTTAGGGGAGATATGTTTTATGGCTTGTTGAGTACATACATAGATTGTCCCGTTAATCCTAGCTATGCCCTATTTTTTTACATTTTTTCTCACTTTCTATGGTTAAATAAAGTTGCAACTGGGCGTTTCTGTTTTGGCCGCTGTGATATTGACGTTCTACACATGCCCTTTCTTGTATTGTTGGAAACTCATACAGAAATTCTTTTCATTGATTATCAGCTTCATCAGAAGCATGTAATGAATTGATGGCTTATTCGCTAGTATTGTCGTGCTGTTGCTATACGAGCTGCATTAGAAGGAAACTTCGCAAGACGTTGAATATCTCGGTAATTCCTTTCCCATTTTCCTCACTTAAGTAAAATCATAGTATCTTCGCAACTGCATGGTTTGATCTTGTAGGTTCTGGGAGGCATATTGAGACATGAAACAAACAATATGATCATATTACTGTGATAGTTATGACTTTTGTTCGATAGCTCCACATTCTAATATGTTATAATCCAACATGAAGAACCAACATTTACCGTGATAAACCTCCATTCTTCGACAGGGGGGCTTTATTGATGACTTCCTTTCTCATTTTATGTGCTGCTGCTGTGCCCTTGTCCAAGAATGGCGAGAAGTTGAAATACGCGGGGTTCATTATGGTAAGTGCCCCCTATGCTTCAAACTTTATATCTTTACTCACCTCTCATCATAATCTTGTAGTCTCTAAAATTACTCAGTACTACGGTCCGGTGGTATTTCTCTTCACTTGGAAGTGAGAGGTCTTAGGTTCGAATCTCGTGGATGGCGAATTCGATACCAAATTAGGCTGCTCATTGTGTGGCTTAGCCGAACTCTTCCGTCTTAGTGTAAAAATATCGATGTACTAAAAAAAAATATTAGGCCGATCGCTACATCTAAGCCAATATGCAAATTGTTTGATATCAAACCAACTTGCAGGTGCCGAGAAGACAAAAGTAAGCCCCCCAGCCTCACAGTACATGGAAACCTGAATGACAAAGAAAGCACAGCTCCGTGTTTTCGAGATTCATCTCCTTTGAAAGACATACGTAGAGATAATGGCTAGTTGCCAGGTTACAGGAACCCTCATTAATTTTCCCATATGTAAATTAGCTTTTTTTCTCATATCTTTTTTTGTTTTTTTTTTAAAATTTTTTAGATTCAGCACATTCTGTATCATAGATACGTGGTTCCTTTTTTTTCGTTTCCCTTCTTTCATATACAAAGTAGCTTTTTCTATACTTTATTGGGGTTTGGTGGGTCCACCACGCATGCGTGTTATTGTATGGGGAAATTTTATTTGAATTAATACAATCTCTTTCTACACTCAACTTAAGTTTTATACCCATATTACTTTTAATTAAATTATCATTATCTCCTTAAACTTAAATTTATTACCTAAACTACCTTTACAAACTAATTTAATATATAAATTTATCTTTACACATCCTGGCCTTTCACCGGGGTTTGGTGGTGGGGGGTTGGTTTTTGGTTGGGGGTGCGGTTGTGTGTTTCGTAGATCATCAGTCGGTTCCTGGCCATTCACTTCCCTCAGATCAACGATGATCTTAGTCATGCTTTTTGTTCTTCTAATTTGAGGGCGTGGACGCTTTCCTAACATTTACTAAATAATGTAATTTCTTGTTTCTTCAGTATGTGTTTAATTAATCCTTTATATGCTAATTTTTCTTAATCTCATATAGATATATTTAAAAAAAGTGAATTTTTTTTAATCTTATATATGTTTTTACTAGTAATAAAGCTTTGAAAAGGTGCTGATATTGTTCCTAAATTCTAAAAAAAAATTGAAATCAAATGAAAAAAAAACTTGAATAAATCGATCATACTTTAGTTGGAGGATTCAAAACTTCAAAATCATTATCCGTCGGCAAAATAAGCTTGTTTTCTCTGTAAAAGTGTCTTAGGGTTTTAGCTAGAATAAACATACAATAAAAATTATGTGATGGTAGGGTTTGATGTCATGTTTGGATTTGATTATTGGTTGTGGGTTTATTAATAAATTCTAGTTTTATTATTAATTTTATCTTGTACTTGATGGTAATTATACCATAAGATAAAAAAAACAATTCACAATTAAAATTTAAGTTGGACGTAGAGAAAAGTTACATGGTCCAAATAAAATTTCCTTGTTGTACGTAGGTTGCTTAAAGGTCTGTCTGTCTCACTGTTAACTTTAAAGCAGCACGTCCTTTTTTCCCAAAACGTGAAGTGTACATTTGCAGGTTGTTAGTGGAGCCAAGCACACTACAACAACTCCACCAATTTCATTTTCAGCGGAAAATTTATTGCGGGTGTGTGCGGAAAGGCTAGTTGCATTATTTGGTGCTATTTTCGGTGGCACACAAGTAGGCTTCCGTGGGTTTGTACTGTTGGTTTGAAATTAGGTTGATCTAAGTTCATTGATAAGCTTTAATGGCCATGGATTTTCATGGTTTCGTGACGATAAGGGTTTCTGAATCTGAAGCAGCATTTAAGTTTGAAGGTTGATAGTTTTGGAATTGACACAACTTTAACTATATTGAGAAGAGGAGTAGCATTTTGGGCACTTGGAATTTCAATTCCTCCTAAGCATTTGGATTTTGTCTTTGGGAATGGACTTTCCATCAATATTCCTAGAGACTGGGACCATTGGGTGCTCATAAGATGATACTATTTTCATGTTTGGATTGTGTAGCGTTAGAAATTTGTCAAAAATGACCATTTTTCAATCTCAATTGTGTCTTCCGTATTTCATTTTTGACTCGTTTTGTGTCAATCTTTGATTGTTATGTCGTCGGTTTTTGATTTTGGATCAGTTCAACAATTGAGTTAGCATGGGTTAAACCCAAAGGGCAATGAGGAAGACGCAATCGAAAGAGTGCAAGATGACTTTTTTAAAGTCGTAATAACATCTTTACCTATCAAACTCGTTATTCACTTAAGTTATTGGCCAAATACGACTAACAAAACAAAGGAAACCGGAATGGTAACATAAGTGTTACATTTTGCAACTAAAATCCAAACCTTACATTTCCACTCTAACATGACAGAAACAATTTGGAAGAAGGGGAGGACTGGAAATAATAAAAAAACTGAGATAAGAAAATATGGCAGATGACATCAACTAGGAAACAACCTTCGCATATAAGGGACAAAAACAAAGGGAAACAGAAACAAAAATCAACCCTAAAACCGGCGAAACCAAGAGAGAAGATCATTTCCTCATCTTGCAGGTTTTTCTCTCCAGATGGTTCGTCCTCGGTTTATTTCTGAACCATCGCCTGCTGATCTTAGTAGATGCAGATACTGACGGTAGTCCTTATCATCTTCTGTTGCAGCAAGGGATCCGTTTGTTCCGTTACCTGAAAGAGCTGGAGCATCGTCGAAGGGTTCAACGCTAGTAAGGGAATCGACTATGTCATCCCGTTGACACTCCCGCCTGTAATCTAAGGTGATTGCTTCCAGTTCATGGCTATCGATGAGTTCTTGAGGCATGCTCTGTAAAAGAAAGATGACATCTCCTATGTGACCAAAGATAACTTAAGGCCATAGAACCCATGAAACAAAATTATGAATTAAACATATACACCAACCTCAAGAACCCATCCGATGTAAGCAACATTATTAACATGTTGATTCATGTCAAGATCAGCTCTCCTCGGCTGCAAAATTAAAGCATACTGAGAATACTTGAAATAATATCGAGAACTTAAAAAGGATTTGAAGAAACACTAACCACAACTCCCAGTCTGGAATACTGTGCAGGATCTTCCAGTTTGGGAATTTTCCTCAAGCTATTATTGTTAGGTTCTGGAAACGCTAATCTATCGATTTCAAGACAAGAAACCAATCAAAAGATTGTCCAAGAGGGCTAACCTTACCACATATATACGATGAAGTCATCCAAATAGAAAAAAGGGCCTTTACCTCAGCTCTCGCGGAGCAAAAACTAAGTGCTCTTCCCTAACATCGTCGCTGACTTTCTGAAGTCGCCTAGTGTCTTGGTTCATCATCACCCACTTGCTGAAACCATGCATCACACATAGACAATTTTTAAATTGTATCTCAGAATTGCTGAAAAACATTCAACAACTTCTTCAAAAGCGATCTTCAATGCAATAACATGTTTCTCCAACGTAAATTTCAATGTCGCGTGAAAAAAGATTAGTATATTCCATACTTATACCATGTTTTCGTAGGCGTCTTAAAAGCTCAGAATATCAAAACTCAGAAATAATACACACCTTGTCGCTCTTCCAATGACTTCACCGGTGGCATAGTCCTTGAGTATCCAATCACGTCTAGTGCCGATTCTCCCTTCCCCTTGGCACCATGTTTCTATTTCAACAACATCACTCCTGTACCACAAACCCACAGTTTAAGTTTCGCTTTCGAGATTAGAAATCAAAATCCGAAGTAATATAAGAGAACACCCACCAAGCTGGATATTTGTAGATTTCAATATGCATGCGAGCAGTAACCCATATGAGATGCATTTCCCTCATGGTGGTGGTGGTCGCAAATCCATCGGTCGAAAAGCCAACATATTGAGCATGGTTGCATCCTACCTCCTGCATCACAAATGTTCACATAAAAACGAAAATTATCAGAAGACGACCAATTGTTTCCCCAATGAAAAAACTCGATTAGTCGATCCATAACGATCATAGAAGGGCTAATTGCCCCAAACAAAATCCAATCAACCAAATCGATACATTTCTACAAACCACAAAAATCGAATCCAAAAGAATGAACATTGCCCACAAAAATTCAAATCAAACCCAACAAATACACATTGAATCGAAACTAAAAATTTCAACTTTCAACTCACCTGGATGAAATTAGCAATCGTCTCGACAGTGGCAGTCTTGTTAATCCCGACCTCATAGGACCTCACTATAAAGCACTCCCTGTACGATTTCCCGTCACCCGCCATGCTCCCCTTCCTCAGCCGGTTTGCCAGGGTGACCGACCCGGATTTCGTCTCGACCCGTCCCGCCACGCTTCCGGCCCCCCGGTCCGATACAACGGCGAGAACCGGTGTTTTGGAAGGGGAAGCAGCGCGGTGGGCAAGAAAGGCGCCGTCTTTCCGGCGGGGGAAAATTGGGTTGGGCTTGGGCGGGCCCAGGAAGCGGCATTGGACCGCCACGCAGTGAATTTGGTCCACTCCATTGTACGCCGAGAGCTTCAACATTTTCTCTCCCTTTCCTCACCCTCTCTCTCTGATTTGAAGGAAAAGATCTAAACTGAAGGAACAGATTGTGTGGCCGATGGGGCCGAGGAGGAGGAGCCCCGGGGACGGGAAACGCCACCGGGTCTGGAGGAATTTACTGGATTGCCACTGGATTCGGTGACGGTGATAACGATGGTGCGGAAACGACGACCTTTTGAAAACTCCAGCGGGGTTAGAGAGAGAGAGAGTTTATGGTTTCTGGTTGTAGTCAGAGATTTTTTTATTTCGCACGTGAAGTGAAGGGGGTGAGAGCTACGTCACGCTATTTATAGTAATACGAACTTGAGAAATTATGGGGCTTGATTTATGGGACTTGACGCCAATTATACTCTTTTAACAGCGGAATTTTTTATGAACTTCTTATGATAAACATTGTTCAAAAAATATAAGTAGATAAAGAATCAATAGAAAATTATCATTTTGAAAAAATTTCGTTAGCATTTCTCTTGTTATTAAATGTTCAAAAATAAAGCACAAAAAAGAGTAATTGAAACTTGAAAAATCATTATCTTTTAGTCTCCATCGATTTACAGAGGAATCTATTAAAACTACAATTCACTTCATAAGACTCACCTCACTAACGTTGTTTATTAAGTAATTGTAAATATCTGTCAAAAGATTCGCTAAGTAATATACTTGTCGATTAATATGAGGGCAGGGACTCACATCTAGGCTATATAAGATATCGAGAATCCGAATAATAAGGGATCTTCAACATTTTATTCCTATTTTTTTTTTCCCAATATTGAGACCAAATCCAAGTCTTATAAGAAACATCGATTTTAACTAAATTAATGGAGGTACATAAACAAGCCAGAATGTTATTGTGCGGTTTGGTTTGGAAGGATTTGGTCTTAAACCTAAAGATAATGCTAGGAAGATTAAAATTTTAAATTAAATTGTAAACTAAATGATGTATCATTTATAAAAAATAAGCACGTTAACTAGCACTTAAGTAATAATCCAATCATTAACATCCACATCAGTTGGTAGTAGGGATGGACAACGGTTATGGTAGACGGGTAACCGCGGTTATTTACCCATAACTGTTTAAGCTTTTACCCACATAACCGTTTACCCGTTGGGTATTTACATAAACAGGTATACCCATACCCATACCTGTTTATAAACGGTTAACCATACACATAACCGCATACCTACTTACTCATAATCGCGTATCCGTTTACTTTATTTATTTATTTTTTTTACTCGTCTACCTATTTTTTTAACAACTTGAAAATTAAATAGAAATTTGTCATAATTTTCTTTTTTCTAACTATTAAATACCGTTATAAGTACATTTAACATGTATTTTTATATTAATGGCAATATTATTTATGAAAATATGCGATGTCTCCCAATTATTTGACAGTCAATCTATTACAAGAATCATACATGGTTGTAGATTAATTAATATTCTTGTATACATACATACATACATACATATATATATGTATATGTAAGTACGCATCAGTCTGCTAAAAAGGCTAATTTGATAAATATTTGGATTTTTATTTAGAAACATATGTTCATCGATCCAAGCCATTTAATCGATTTCTAATTTTGGGGTCAAATATTTATTGAAAACTCAAGGCCAATTAAACACACACACACACACACACACACACACAAAATCTAATAATAACATGTTTTTAAATGCTCAAGGTAATCATTATCTTGAATTAATCAAAGCTCCAAAAGACTCCAAAACAAAACAGTCGAACGCTAATGCTTTAGCACATTCAATCACATATATTAAACATTAGCCCATTCTATCAACTATATTTTTCTCTCAAGTGAGACATATATATATATATTATGGCCTTTATAACCAAATATATATTGGGATACTAAACCTAGTTAGAAACTAATTTTATTTTATTTTATTTTTACATATATTAAAATAAACGGTTAAATGGGTATCTGTTTATAACCGCAGGTAATACCCATAACCGCTAATTTAAATTTCACAGGTAAACGGTTATACCCATAACCAATGGGTGTTTGCCCATCCCTAGTGAGGATCCTCCTGACCAAGCCCATTGGGCCGTTGAAATTTTATCGAACGGCTACAATTATTATAACTTTTAGAGAGACTCCCTGTTTGTAGCCGTTAGATAAAATTTCACCGGCCCGATGAGTTTGGTTATGAGGATCCTCACCCTTTGCTCAGGAGAGGATCCTAATCCACATGTTTTGATATGGATCTAATGTATTGCACAATCATAGGTAGAGTCTAATAAGTAGAGCAATTAAAGTGTCCATAATTTGAAAACAAAATTGCACCGACTATCGTTAAATGTTTTATGTTGAATCTTCCAGAATTAACATAGAACTTTAAGTTACATATCAAATCTCATCATTTCATAAAAAAAAACTCTCATCTTTTTTAGTGTAAAATATATCGTTGTATTAAAAAAAAAAAAAAGTTACTCATCAAATCTCGTTGTTTTATCAAAAACTCTATCCGACTCCTATTTTGAATTTTCCTCGTGATTCCTACAGATTAGTATCCAAATTTGAATTTGAATTCGCATGAAGCTATGAGAACTACAAGTAATTTTACATGTTTTCGTTGAGTCGCTTACAATAGTAAGCTTCATTTTTGCTGGTATTTGTTACATGATTCTAGTCTACATGATTCGTGAGCATTATACATTGATTGTCTTATGTAAATAATTGCTCAAGAGGCTTTTGACATTGTGTTTGGACCCAAATCAAGGCTGTTGAGTATGCATAGTTTTCAGCCGTCGAATGAAATAGTGGAGATAATTTTTGTTATTGTTTGAGGATAATATTATGATTTTTATGATAATAATTATCTTTGAATATAAATTATATGCGTTTTTTTAAACCATGCGAATTATATCCCAAACAAGCAGTGCAGTTTGAATTGATTTGGGATGTCTGATGGCACTTGGAAGCTAAAAATGAATTTGAAATTCATTTGATCAGGATGCATGCATGCATGGGATAAAGGTGAAATTGTGAGATGGTGATGTGATGTGATTAGGATGGTTATATCTAGATAAAAAATAAAAAAAAAGGAGTAGGTTTCAGCCTATAGACATGATGGAAAAGCTAATTATCAGAAGATAATGATGTGGTAATTTCTTGACCATTGATCACATAACGATAGGATAAAGTCATCACTATTTCGTCAGATTTGGTGTATTTAAATATTGAAGATTTGTGGCATAAGAAAACTCAGGGATTGCTTCAGCTTGGTAGTCGTGATACATCAGAAGTCTTAAGAGATTATTTTCTAGTAGCCGTGACACATCAGGAGACTCAGTGATTTACGGCTTGGCCAAGCAAAGTACATCAGCCTTATAAATACAGGTGCAATGGCAATGGGAAAATGACCTTCAATTCAACATACAATTGCTCTGCGCAAAACCTCTCAAACACCTTGAGATTTTTCTTATTCTTTTCCCGCCGACACACCTTCAGTTTAGATAAACAGCACTGTGGAGGCAACCGGCGGACATCTTCAGTTTGGATAAACAGCACTGTTGCCGTAGAATCAGCTAACCGAGGAACACCTTCAGTTTGGATAAACAACACTGCGTCGAGGGCGACTGGTTACCTATCCAAGTCTCGGCCGAGAAGGGTTTTCGAATCCTTATTGGCAGGGATCATCTTATTAGCCTTCGCGGCGAAATAAGGTGTTACGAGTTACGACATTCGGCGTGTTGAGCGCCGAGTGATTTTACGATTGGATACTCACAAGTGAGTTTCAGAGTTCGGCATTCTGACGGTTGAACCACGTTTACCATCAAGACATACATCACCTTTGAATACTTGTGTCCGTACAGTCTGGTGTCGATTCGACGTGCTTATACTCTCACAAATATAATCACTGTGACCGAATCTGGCATCGACGATTTGTAAATTTCGTAGAACTAGTAGCCTTGTCTTCAGGCTTTAGAACCCAAAGACCGAGAATGTTCCTTCCTCGGTCGCAGTTGCAAGATAAAGAAGTTAGCAACGCGCTCAACGTGACAACAACGAATTTTACTCCTCGGCCGACGAGTTGGCACGCCTCGCATTCAATTGAATGACTTAGTTAGCTTATCAGTTATTCGGCCTGCGCGCCACGTACGCTTTGTAATTTTTAGGGTCAACACATTGATTATGTTAGCTTCGGGGTCTTTTAACATTACCAAGATGGAGGACTACATCTTACTGTTAGAATCATGTAAAATTACTTATTCCACCATGATAGGTAGTTACAATATGATAGGTAGTTTAGCTTGTAAAAGTACTTATATGGCAGGTACTTCAGACTGTAAAAGTACTTATATAATAGGTAGTTTAAATTATAAAAGATCAGTTCAAATCTAAGTTTATGCCGACTAATATTATAATATAATAGGTAGTTTAGCTTGTACAAGTACTTATATGACATGTAGTTTAGAATGTAAAAGTACTTATATGATAAGTAGTTTAGATTGTAAAAGATCAGCTGAAATAGGGGTTTATGCCGACTAATAGGGTACATGAGTTGAAAAAAGAAAAGAAAAATAATATAACTAATAGCGAGGCTCCCCAAGAGATTTATAGGTGTCCGAAATTTTGGAAATGTCCTAAATTAATTTTAGGAAATATGTGGTGCAAATAGAATGATTCTAACTTTGACTTATAGCACACAGTTTTTTGTCAAAATTTTTTTTTGAAATTTTTAGCTTTAAGAAATATTTTGCGTTGGACTTAAGGAAAATATTGCAAACCTTTTGGATATGATCCTACCGATTATTAGGTCTTGAACTATTTTTTTATTGATTCTTAAGGTGAGAAAATAGAAAAATATCTTTAAATTTAGGTTTTAAATCATTGATTACAAGTATTATAATATATTTTGCACGGAAAAAACATATTTTGAAAAACACAAATATGATAGTTTGTTGTTTTGGTAAAAGAAATAAAAGAAATATTAACAAAATAAAAAAAATAACAAACTCAAAAAAAAAAAATTGAAAAAAGAGGATCGGTACGAAGATAGCGACTTATTTTGAGAATAGTCGCTATCTTTTTAGCGATTATTTTCAAAGAAAGTAGCTACCAAAGTACCGATCGTATCGTTTTAAATTTTTTTTCTTTTTTTTCTTTTTCCATTGAATAGCTATAGTAAAGTAAAATAGTAATCACAATGCAAAGTATCAACCTAACAACAAAAAATGATGACACATGGAGTCCTATTCATGGACCTAAATAAAAAAATAACTAAAAAGTGGACTAATC